TTCAAGAGGTTTATGATGAGGTTGCAAAGTGCGATCCAGCTCATGGTGATTGGGCTGTACATGGTGACGAGGGGAATGTGTGGGTTGATGCAAGTTCTTTGGCAAGTGGTGCAGTTATTCAAGTTGGTAAAACTACTGTAGAAGGTGCAACATGGCTACGAAAAGAAATGTCTGAAGATCACATAAACATGGCGGAGCTGGATACTGTAATGCGTGGAATGAATATGGCTTTGACGTGAAAATTAAAGAAAGTAACTAACTTTACAGAATCCGTGACAGTGTTCCACTGGGTCTCTGACGCTCTCACTGGTAAGTCAAGATTGAAATCAAAAGCAATGGGCGAAATGCTGATTCGAAAAAGATTAAGCGTTCTGCAACAATGTATTGAAGAATATGGTATTAATGTGAATGTAAAACTTGTTCCTTCAAATGACAACTTAGCTGACGCATTGACTAGAATTCGAAGTAGATGGTTGAATAAATTGACGGAGGCTGAGCATTCGAGTAATTCCGTTGGAGTAGTATTTGCAGAGGCTGAATCCATTTCTAGCATACATAAGAGAAATGGACACTTTGGAGTGAATCGCACTCTAAACTTTGTTCGTAAAGTAATTCAATGTACAATGGGAGAAGGGAAAATTGAGCGTTAAAGAAAATTGGGAAAGAGTGGCTATGGATATCACACATTTTGGCACAGAAAATTTTTTAACTCACTGTGGCGATAACTTTCAAGTTCATACGGAAGTATTGTCATTACTCGAATACTCCGCCTTATCTTTTGCGAGCGAAGAGCACCATCTGAAATTTTGACAGATAACGAAGCAACTTTTAAAACTGAGGAGTTGAGAAGTTTTCTTGATGGTTGGGGAGTGCGCATTAGGTTTCGAACTGCTTATTATCCCGAAGGAAAAAAAAAATTAAAAGAATTGTAGAAAGATCAAAAATGTCAATACCGGAAGCAGTGTATTGGTACAACGCCTTAGCTAACAAAAACAATGCAACCCCGATGGAGAAAATATACAGGTATCGAAGTAATGTGAAAGGAAAAAAATAATCTTCCGATAAAAGCTGACACAAATGAAGTGTTTAAAAATGATGATAATGTTTGGTTGTAACCGTCAAATGCGAAGTCCCATACTAAGTGGCAGCCAGCAAACCTAATGAAAATATTTTATAACAAGTTGTCAAAGTTAATGGCGTTCTGCGTCATGTAAAACATATCCGATATCCAAATAACATTCAACCATGCGATATTCCTAAAGTGAACGCAGACAGTGGTCAAGATAACGCGGCCCCAGTGGGCAAGCGTCGTCTGGAGGACGTCTGCTGGACGTCTCATGGACGTCTAGACGTACGTTAGACGTCCTACGGACGTCCCCCGGACGACGCATGCCCACTGGGGCAAACCATGGTGATCAAATTAAAAATGTGTTGGAGACAAGCAAAGGAGACGTATTACAAGGAAATAATGAAGCCGAAAATGGATTCCAACTCGAGAACGACGCATGCCCTAAAAATACGACAATTATTATTTGTATGATCCGTAAGGACCATGGAGGAGTGTAAATAAAGTAAAGAAAGTTCTAGAACATTCTAAGGCAATTACGTGGTTTCTTTTACTAATAGTTTTTAATTATTTTAATTGTAGTTATGCATTAAGTGGTTTTTGTAATGTTGATTTTGTGGGTAGATATAAGGCCGGGTGAATAAAAAAGAGCAATTGCTTTTACTCAGCGTTTTTGGAGTAATTGCTCAAGTTTACGTGAATAAAAATTTAGAGCAATTGCTCTTTTTTCCGCGAAAGCTTTTACTCATGAGCTTTTGCTTATTCAGCGATTTATCACGGTGATTCAGTACTTATGCAAGCTTGAGATTTTATTATACGCATGCGTCTGATAAAAATATTCAATATTAAAATTTGTATTTATCGTGTTAAAAACAAATAAATACCTTACAACATTGTTTCCATTTTAAATCCAATTTTTATGAGGTTTTTAATAATTAGACAAATGTAATAGTATTTTATATACTATACATTTTATATAGCTGTTTTGTGCAAAAAATCTGAGTGAAATTTATGTTTGAACATTTACTACAATAGTTAAAACAGAAAAGAGTAATATTGTTTAAAATAACACTTTATATACATTTCAATTATGGACGAAGCAAAATTTTTATGACATGTGGATTAGTTTTTAATAAAAGTATTATTCGTTGATATTCAAAAAATATTGACTTCTATAACCTGTCATTTTTTTATAATATGTTATTTCATTATTTAGCTAAAATTTTTTCAAAAATTTTATTTAGAAGATGACTGAAAAACATCAACAAAAGTTATTAAGAGTTTGCAGAATTTGTGGAAAGTTAACAGGAAAAGACTCTCTAACAACTGCCAGTAGGACTGAAAGAATATTTAATGTTTTTAAAATAAATACTAAAGAAGATTGTGTAGAGGTTCATCCACCACAAATGTGCCTAAAATGTTATTCAACTATGAAGAATATTGAAACACGAGGAAATAAACTATCTAAGATTAAACCAAAAATTTGGTTAAAATGTCCAACAAAGGAGTGTATGTGTATTTATGGTAAGGTTGGTCGAAAACCATCTCCAAATGTTGGACGGCCAGGAGTTTTTAAAAGATGGACACAACTAAATATAAACTTGTTTCTTGAATCCTTGCCCTTACCTTTAAACAAAAAAGAAATTTCTGAATTCAATATTCAGCTAAACCCACATATAACATTATGTATTTGTAAAGTTTGTGGGAGGATAATGCATCAACCAGTCATGATCAAAGATTGTCAGCACTCGTTTTGTAGTCAATGTATTATATCAATTATTAAAGGTAAGCTAAAAAACGAAGCAAGATGTCCTGTTTGTTTAACCTGCATTATGATTAATAGCCTTTGTAGTTCTGTTCATGTATTGGAGATGATTGAACATTTGTATATTGCATGCAAGATTTGCGAAAAAAACTTTATTAAAGACAAGTATGAAAATCATGAGTGCAAAAAAGATCATTTATTAAATAATTCCAGCACAATAGTTGATGATTTATTTAAAGTTGATAAGTCAAGTCATATTCCACGTAATATTGAAGATGCAGTGTTGCATGTAATTAAACAAAAAATGGAGAATTCAAAAACAACTACAATTGAATTTTTATCTGGTGGCCCAAGAGTAAGAGTAATAATATTTGTAAAGTACATTAATATAAAACTTAAACTATAAAATTTCTTGTCTGGAATTTTGAATATTCATAATGATAAAGATTGCTGATATTAGGTTTATGTATTGATATATATTTTTATTTTAAAGCCCCTTTGCTTAACTGTTATGCCCAAAGCCTACAAGGAAAGTGCATCTTGCAGTGGTCATACCTTGAGAAAAAGACACAAACACCTAGTGGACCAAGCTAATCATCAAGTTGGAAATTCAAAAGATTCACTAGTAGTGCAAACATCAGTTATGCTTAAATCATTTGATCACAATCAAAAAAATAAAGTTTTAGAAAGTGCTAAGATTGGAGTTGTTGAGTTTTCTGCTGAAGAATTGGTTGCTTTTAAAGCAAATGTAGGGGTACCGTGGAATAAATTAAAAACTATGACTAGGTAAAATTATTTTTTTAAATATTTATTGGTTAGTTTATTTATTAGTGTTAATTATTTAGAGATTAATGTTAATTGATTTATTATTTAAGTGAATGTAGGTGTACATTTAAAAATGCATGCTTTTATTAACTTACATAATAATGCATATATAAGTAAGCAGTATGAAAAATAATTTAGTGAAAAAAATGAATAAGTGTTATTTACTAAATATTGTAGATGGTTAAACTCAAGAAATATTAAGACTGCTTCAAACTTTAAACAAAGAGTAGTTGCAAATACCTGGGCAGGAAATGATCTTGTTGTATTAAATGGAGATTTTACATTTCAAAATGAAAATAATAAGTCAGTTTTTGAAATCAAACATGCTCCCTGGGCATACATAGACAATCTACCCACTAATATTTAAAACCTGTTAGATATTCTTGAAAGGTATGGATATTTGTACAAATTTGTTACTTAAAAATCTAAATATAAACTATTGTAAAAAACTATTTAAGCTGTATTTTTTTATGTTATATTTTTATTTTATTTAAATTTATTAGTTTTAAGTTAATAAAACATGATGGAATAAAAAATGATGAAATACACATAAAAATTGGAGGAGACCATGGAGGTGGTTCATTTAAAATGAGTTACCAAATTGTAAACCAAGACCAACCAAACTCAAAATCAAATAGTATTGTATTCAGTACATTTGAAGCAAGAGACTACCGAACTAATCTTAAAGTAGGGTTATCTCGATATACATTACAAGTTGATGAGATACAAAAAATGATATGGCAGTAAGTTACTATTTCTAAAGAAATAAGCATTGATAATTTAAATAAAATTCAAATATTTTGTGTTAATTTAATATATTTTAATTGTTTTTAGATATCATAATGTTCGTGTTTTTATATTTGGAGATTATGATTTCCTTTGCAGTGTATATGGAATCACAGGAGCGAGTGGTAGGTTTGCTGTACTTAAAGAAATTTTATGTTATTTGATGATAATTTTTTTTTAGTTATCATAAGTAAAAACTTTTGTAAGATTGAAAAATTAAAGTTTTAAAGATATAATTGTTTAACACCATTCAATACTGTTACTTATGGTATTATAGGTCGACATTGCTGTCTTTTTTGTGATATAACCAAAGAAAGTATCCAGTTGGCTCCAATTAGTAGAGAGAATGGTGTTTCACAACGATCTCTAAAATCTTTAAACATTGATTTTAATCGATTCCAAAGTTTTTCAATAATGTGATTAATGAAACTTTGTTTCACATTCCTCTAGACCAGGTAATTTATTTTTAGCACTGTATTTTAGTTTTATTTTGAGGATTTGTATGGCTTTAAATGTTTTTAATAGTGTTTAATTTTATTTTTAGGTAGCAGTACCTGCTTTACATATATCTTAAGGAACCTATTTGAAGTTTTTTAACATGTTTGAAGATGAATGTCACTTGTTAGATATCAAACTTGCTGGAGAGCTTGCACTAAAAAATAATACAATTGGTAAAGATGATTTTGACAAATACATTAATATGCATACTCAATCAAATCTTATAAAAAGTGTTATTGAGGACTGTGATAATAAAATTACACTTTTACAAGACACAATTTCATTAAAAGTTTTATGTGAACCAGACAGAACAGAGGAAATAAGGAAAGTATATGCACCAAGAATACTTTACTATGATTTAAAAAAAACTGATAAGGTATTTATTATTTACAAAAAAAATATGAATTTAATTTAGACTTTAGTTAGAATTATATTTAACATAATTTTAGAAAGCCAAAAATATATCAATTTCAAAAATTTACAATACAATTACCTACAGTTTCTGTAGCATATATTTAACAAGAAAAATATTTTTCTAGATGAAAGAACTAAATTCATTAAATGAAGCAAACATTCTTGATAAAATTTCAGGTCCCTGCATTCAGCAACTTGATGAAATTTTAAAGGCTAATCAGGTACAAAGACAGGCTTATCATGGGAAATGCTTTGTTGGAAACCATGTTCACACAATGCTTAAGGTTTTTTTACAGATGTTTTATATTAAATATCCTAACCTGGTGGGTTGGTTATATCGATCAGATAAAATCTTTTTTTTTTTTTATTTTTTGTTCAGACTGCTTTGAACACATCGGCCACCCCTGCGTTTTGTTAATAAAAATATTTCAAAATTATTTAATTTTACTTATATTTAATTTAGCCTCAACCTTTGCTAGATTTGTGCAACTCTATTCCAAAACTGATTTCAAATCTTGGTTTTATTGATACAGACGTTCATTTACTCTCAGTTAATGTGAGCCAAAAATTTAAACAGTTGTTTCAATATTATTCCAAATGTCATAACTTGATGAACAGCTCACAATCATTTCAAGAAAATGATGTTCAGGAACTTGGTAGGTATTTAAAATCGTTTTACGCAAACTGTAGTTGAAGTTAGCATATTCTTTAATGCCATAATAGTTATTTTGAAAAACATTAATTGGTTGCTTTTTTTAGTTAGAATTTGAGGAATTTATTTAAAGAAATTCAATAAGGCTTTTTTTTTAAACATGTAAACTATTTAATTTTAGAATCAGCAATCTGTAATCTTATGGAATTTTATAGATCAACTTGGCCAAATGCATCTGTAACTCCAAAGATGCATTTGCTTGAAACACATGTTCTTCAATTTATTCAAAAATGGGGATTAGGCATTGGAGTTTATGGAGAACAAGGCGGAGAAAGTTTGCATGCTGAATTTAACAATCTTAATCGTTTGTTTTGTCATATGAAAGGTTGTAGCCGCTTGAAAAGCATGGTGAAAGAACATTATGTAAGAAACCATCCAAAAGCTAAAGCAATGAAGCCAGAAATTAAAAAGAAAATTTTTTTTTGATTTTTATGTGTGTATATAATATATATATATATACACATACATATACACACATTCAACTTTGTTCTGAGTATCAGAGTGTTCTGGTAAACACATTATAATATTCTTGATTTAAAACGTGCACGCATTGTAAGTTTAAGGTTAACTTGAACTTTATGTAAGGCTTTCAGAGTAGAAAATTCTTCCATTAAAAAGCTAAAAAAACTACGCAAAAAATGTTACCAGCCTGCCGTTAAATGCAGTTAACTTTTTTTAAAAAAAATGACAGGTTAAAACGAAAGGCATAGAATTTTTAGGCATGATTTATAGAATTTAAAACAATTGAACTTTTTAGTCAAAAAATTTTCAAACAAAAGATATCCCTCTAGTTAGCTAACAGATATTTTATTTTTTTTATCTAAAAAACCTTACATTTTGCTCATTAAAATTTTCTTTGTTTACAAAGATTCTTATTTATTTTTATGATTTACTTAAAACCTTCTAGAATGTAAGACTTTAAAAATATATAGTTCAGGTTTTTACACGAGGAATAAGTAATTGTTTAATAAAATACTAAATCAACGAATTTTAGTTATTTAGATAAAAACTACTTCGCCATTTTTTTCCGTAATTAAAAAAAAAAAACAAATGTGCGCATGCTCACAATAAAATATCAGGCTTAAATCACCGTGTTATATTTAGCGATTGCTCACATATGAGAAAAGTGCATGAATAAAAAAGCTACAACTCAAATATATATATATATATATATATATATATATATATATATATATATATATATATATATATATATATATATATATATATATATATATATATATATATATATATATATATATATATATATATATATATATATACACATATATATGTATGTATGTATATATATAACTTTTACGTTTTTATTTTTACGTTATGCATTTAGTTATAATTATACTAGCACGTTTTTGACACAATAATTTTTTTGGAATATAATTTTGACAAAAATGAAGTTACACATGCTGTCTTCCTAAGTTTGTGTGTATTTAATTTAATATATATATTTTTTGTATACGTTGAGTATTATAATTAAATAAAAACTGCAGCCTAATGTCGACGAATGGAGTGCGCGTTTACAATTAAAGAGTAGTTAAAGAGTATTTGCAAATTTATCACGTTTGATAAACTGTATATAATACATTCGCATAATGTAATCGATTATACATTCAAGGTATTGGATATAGTGAACAGTAATTAACAAACATAATAATAAAACATATTAGTTGCATTGAAAATACATCTTAAAATACGTCTTTAAATGGCCCAAATGTTTCCAGAAAGAAAATCTAAATCCTATAATACTCGAAAGGCACCACCAACAGCTTCAAACGAATACCATAAATTATTTCGATTTACGGATGATAATGTTACGTGGATGGCAAAACACTTTTTGGATGTAAGTGATGAAACTCGGGGAGGATCACTAATAACCAAGCAAAGAATGGAAGTTACACTACGTTATCTAGCAAACCCTGGCTTCCAAACTGGAATTTCAAACGAAACTGGGATTCATCGCAGTACTGTTTCAAAAACTGTTGCTTTGACACTTCAAAAAGGTTTGACTAAGGCTTCTCAGTAGATAGTTTTCCCACATACGGAAGAACAAATTTTAAGAGCAAAATTGGCATGGGCAAACGAAAGAGGCTTTCCCTGTACAATAGGAGCTATTGATTGCACCTAAATAAGAATCGATAAACCCTATGGAGAATTTGGTGATGAGTTTATTAAAAGAAAAGGCTTTGCTTCAATCAATGTACAAGTTAGTAAAATTATAAACTATTCCTCTTCCTATATTTATACATATATATATATATATATATATATATATATATATATATATATATATACATATATATATATATATATATATATATATATATATATATATATATATATATATATATATATATATATATATATATATATATATATATATATATATATATATATATATATATATATATATATATATATATATATATATATATATATATATATATATATATATATAGAAAAAAATTTACTTATATTTCTCAATGGTTCTTTTTTCAATCAATGTTAATTTTTTTTTCTGATAAATAAATCGAGAGTATTTTTTGTACCACGACTTTAATGTAATGTAACTGTGGTGTAATAATTTTATAGGTAAGAATTAAGCCAGAGATGATAGCTACATGTATCACTGCATGCTTTATACTGCACAATATTGCAAAAACTTAAAACGATCCAGATTTTGAGGATGAAGATGTCGAAGAAGATGACGAAGAAATTGTTCCTGTAATTGAAGAAGGAAACAAACAGCAACTTCGTTTACATGGTCAGCAGCGTAGAAATGAAATTGCTTTGGCAATAATAAATTAAGAGACTTATGTAGAGAGAAATAAGTAATTAACATCTTTTTTGTTATCAGCTTTGTAATATGAAAATTTTAAAAGTGCAATGTCTTTTTATTTGTAACAAACTGAAAACAACATAAATAATTTTTAATTTATTGTATTGTTTATATTATTAAAAATATACTTTCAAAGTTTTCTTAGATAAATAACTATTTTAAAGAATTTTTAAGATCTGCTAACATAACATTTTTAAGTTTTATTTGCAGTAAAATAAACAAAAGTTTCTCAAATGTCAGTTATAATATGTTTATGACTTAATAACTTATTATGTAGTTAATGTTCATTATTAGGATTTTATTAAAATATGCATTATTTGGCAATACATTTTTATTGTGCTATAAATTTTAGAAATATTTTTAAACAGATTATAACTGACATTTAAGAAATAAAATGAAACATAAAAACTAACTGGAAATAAAACATAAAGAAGTGACATTTTAAAATAGATTTTAGTTGCTGTGAAATGTATAAAGATACTTTAATTAATTTAAATTAATTCATCCTTCTTTTTATTACAATGTATAACGTTTTAAAATGCTGAAAATGTAATGCATGGTAAAAAAATTAATTTAAGTAAATTTAAAACTTTTGTACATTTAACAGTAACCAAATTTATTTTCACGTTTTTATGTTTTATTTCCATTAACGTTAATGTCAACAACAATATCTATCTCCTCTTCATTTATATGGTGGGGAGTAGTATATTTCAACTTAAAACTTTTCAACCGATAGTATTTTAGCTGCTCCAGCATGACCACACGCTGAAGCTCTGTATTTGTCCATTTTATAGTTTCTTTAGTTTCACCAGGTAGTTTTAATTTTTTTGGAATTAACCTCGATGCTTGAGAAGATGTGTTCCCTGAGAAAAAAAAAATCAATTTTGGTAGATTAAAATCTCCAAGATATTGATAGTTTTACATAAAATATAAAAAGAATAAAATTATATTGAAAACAGGTGTCCTGCAAATATACTCTATTAAAGAATAAAAAACCACAATAGTAACTTACTGCAACTAATTTTAACATTACCAGAAAATTCAACTGATGGTGACAATGAAAATATAGTTTGACTTTTTGATGAGTTGCTGAGTACAGAATTTGTTTCAGCAACACTTGAAGTGGGAGTTTGATCTATGCCTGCAGATATTGCCCCTAAGCATATTATATATATATATATATATATATATATATATATATATATATATATATATATATATATATATATATATATATATATGTGTATATATATATATATATATATATATATATATATATATATATATATATATATTTATATATATATATATATATATATATATATATATATATATATATATATATATATATATATATATATATATATAATAATATGTACGTATATAAATAAAGTTGTCTTTATTAACCATCAATTTGTGTGAAGGTAGGATTCTTTTCTGTATCTAAAAGATTAGCAAGTTTGACTTCACTCGCTGAAAGTTTTATAGGCTTGTTTCCAGTTCGATGGATGTCATACTTTTTTTTAACCTTGTCTTCATGTTGGCAATCTTTTTCGCCAATGTTTTTGTATCAATTTTTGTTCCTGTTGCTTGGAACATTTGGTCTTGCATTTTTAAAAATGCTTTGTTTTTCTTTATTTTAACGTTTGGAACTTGGCTTTTTTGTAGAAGTATTGGCAATTCGCACAGTATGTTTATAAAAACTTCATCTTCAAATTTGTTAAAACTTTGGCTAGCTATATTATTTTCACTTGATTTAATTGAAATCTGGTTTGAAGAAGCCATTTTTAAATATTAAAAGTTAAAAAAGCTACTTATATCCGCAACGGCATATAGCTTTTACTCAGACACAAAAGCAATTGCTTGCGAGCATTAGCAAAACTTTATTCACACATTTTTGAGCATTTGCATAGCAATTGACATTTGTACGGCGAGCATTTGCTTTTAGCTTTTACTTTTACTCAGAGCAATTGCTTGTGAGCAATTGCTCTTTTTTATTCACCCGGCCCATAAAGTATAAATGAATGTAAAACTTTTGAAAGATGGGTTGAATTTAAGCTATTAAATAAATTTTTAGAAAGAATTTATTTCAACCTATTGGACCTCCTAACATCGAGTGCAATCCTGTCTGCTTTCTCTATGCTATCTTTCTAACACGACTACTTCTGTCTTTCACTTTAACATATCTTCGTTCTTCCTAAACTCACTTTACTCTAGTTCCGTAGAGCGGGTTATGACGCTCCTTGGGGAGCCGAACCTGTCTTGACGGGTCTTGGTAATGTGGCCTCTATATGGCAATTAGCTGTAGGAGGATAAACCACAATACCAATTTTTGGAAAGAAAAGAAGTTTTGTTTCGATCGAGAAAATTACATTAGCTTAAATAAAACTGGTTGAGTTATATGTACCTAATGTTTTATGTTCTGATTATATTTTTTATATAAGTTTAAACATATTACTTTTTATTATATTCGTATTTTTCTTTAGTGTTATCGTTATCACCAACTTGAAGTAGTTTGCCAGCTGTTTAAATATGGTTTTAATAAATTGAAGCTTTCATGATTTAAAGTTTATTTAATTGATCATTAGCCAACAGCCATCAAAAATTTACATTTAACGCAA